GAGAATACGTGCGGTAAAACATCTCATTTGAGCGTTTCCAAATATTTTTTTACGACTTTAGCGACATTAGGTCGAGCGTTGTCATGAAGAAAAATAACTATATCATGTCTTTGTTCGTATTCCGGCCATTTTTCTTGCAATGCACGGCTCAAACGAATCAATTGTAGCCGATACCGATCGCTCGTAATAGAATCGTCAGGTTTCAGCAACTCATAGCAAACAACCTTTTTGGTCCCATCACATACAGAGCATGATCTTCGAATCATGAATGTACGGCCGTGATGTTGATGTTGAGGTCGATGGCAACGATTGACCAGGCTTAGCGTAGTATTTTTTCTTCTTGGGGTTGTCGTAGAATATCTACTTCTCATCTCCAGTCAATCCGATGCAAAAAACTTTCTCTGTTGTCTTTAAATCAGCTATTCGTAAGTGAAAAATCGCCTTTCAACGTCTCTCGGTTTTAGTTCATAGGCACTCAATTTTCTTGTTTTTGAATCATTCTCATGGCTCTTAATCGTATAGAAACGGCTTGTTGAGTTACCCCCAATGATTCTACAAGCTCCTCTTGCGTTTGACTCTGATCTTCTTCGAGTAATGCCTCTAATTCTTTGTCTTCGAATTTTTTTGGCTGTCCAGAGCGAGGCTTGTCTTCAATGCTAAAATCTCCATGAAACGTCGAAACCATTCCTTACATGATTTATCAGTTGGAGCAGTGTCACCATAAACTTCGACAAGCATTCGATGGGCCGCACTTCCAATGAAAGCAGAAAATCAAAACCTACCGCAAATGCTGCTTGGTTAACACAAAATTCGACATTTCAAACACAGTAAAAATCAAGGTTTTTGTGTGAAACTCAAAGCGATATAAACTGAATATTATTAGGAGATATTTAATCTCTCTGAAACCGCCAAAATCAGCTGTCACTATGAACCATTCACAACAGCTGGAGCTATTTTTAGGGAAATGGACCGAACTAATTTGTACTCCCAATATATAATTTCAAAATGTATTGTTATATTATCATTCCTACACATTATAATTGTACTTCCATTTGCTTAGTTACAAACCAAGAAATTATTTTTATTTGCATATTGCAAATTTACAAACGCATAGAAGTTTACAATTATTATAATGGATATCAAAATTACACACTCATTATAATAGTTGTAATTTTATACAACAATTTTTGACAGTGCATAGCGCTTGAGATTAGAAAGTCCCTAGATCCGCTGTGATTAGTGATCGTCGATTTTAAAAAAGTAACGGAAAAGTAACGAAAAATTATTTTCTTAACGGTAACTATTAAGTATGGGAAAAAGTTCGTGGCGTTTTTCCCGTTAGATGTAATGGTTAGATGTAATAAATTTCCCTTAATATAACGTTATTTTTAAAAATTGGTAACTAATAACGATAACTTATTTATTTCTACTCAATAACTGTAACTTGTTACTTTTAAAAAATAACTTTTCATTCCTTGTATTTGACACTATAATAGCTATAACTATTACGTAAAAACTGAAATGTTTTAAATAAACAAAATCAAAACTATTTTTTGTATTAGAATGTTTATTTAAAATACACACACACACACACACATATATATATATATATATATATATATATATATATATATCATCATGTCCAGTAAAATCTGGCTAGTTAATTCAAGGATAATTCCAGAAAATTTCAGGTAATAATTTTGATTTTTGCATTTTTGATTTATCCCTTCAATTTCTATTATTTAATTAATTTTCATCGATTCGCGCGATATTATATTTTGTATTCAAGTTAGGATTCTATACGAATGAATTAAAAACAATTAACAAATTTGGAACAATTACTTATTGCTTTATAAATAATATAAAACAAATACGTCATCAACATAAATGATTTTTCTATTACGTTCTATTTCAGACATTAAAATTCTAAGTTTTTTATTAGTAATTTATTGCATTTTTAAAGAAGGACTTATATTCAAGAAGGACTTTTCTTTTTTTATTTCTTTTTTCCATGCTGATTTTTTTTAGAATAAAAGATAAATTTCAGACCAGTCCTGAAATTTCAGAGATTTGAAGAATTTTTCAGAATACTTAAAATTCCAGTATAATTCCAGGATCCAAGGATATTCAAAGATCGCTGAATATCATGTTTGTTTCCTATTTTATATTTTAAATAAGTTTTTGAGATCTATTTTCATTTTATACTTTTCATTAAGTCATTTCATATAAGTCAGTTTTTACCGATTCCTACGAGTTTAAATTTTAAATAAGTTTCTGGAACCTATTTTATATTTTTTATTTTAAATAAATTTATTGAATTCTATTACTGAAAGGTTAACTATGAAAAACTTGAATCTACCACTTAAAATAACTCGTAGAAATTAGCAAAGTATGATGATTATTAAACACACTCAAATCTTTTAATTTTCCAGTAAACGAGAACGAAATGAATTAAAAATTGCAATTAATTGTAATTTATCCAAGTTCGTGCTTTAGAGCTCGGAGCTAGATTGAAATGAATTGAAAATTGCAATTAATTGTAATTTATCCAAATTCGTGCTTTAGAGCTCGGAGCTAGATTGAAATGAATTGAAATGTATTGATATCTGAGTATATAAATTTATTTCTCTTCATGAACATTTATAATTTTTTCTTTATAAATAAAAAAGTATTTTTATATTCATTTCGATCGAAACAGGAATATTCTTGTTCAATACTGTTCAATACTTCGGATATAAATTCAAAGCTTATATATTTCTGTGATAACTTTTTTATTTAAACAAAAATGCGTATTTTCACAATTTTGAACTGTATTGTATTCACTTACAAATTAGCTATGTTGAAATTTTTTTTTAATTAAGTGAATTCAAATGAGACTGTTCTTATTCATAATTTTGAATTGGGATGTATTCATGGCTAACTTATTTACGACATAAGTATTTTTGAACTCAAACGGGTAAAAATATGAAATGTGCTATTCATCATATTGAATTTGGATGATTTATGTTCATATTACATTATTTTTTAATTGAAATAAATTAAAAGGCGAAATATGCTATTCATCATGATGAATTTGGATTCATGTCCATATTATATTATTTTTTGATTGAAATGTAAATTAAAATACGAAAGAGTTATTCATCATGTTGAAATCAAATGTATTCATAGATTGAAATAGATTCGAAAAATCAGAAACGCGAATTCGGAAACATTGAAATGAATTCATTTTTATTCATTTCAATTTATTCTCATTTACGTGGGGGGGGGCGAGGGGTGGGGGGTTCTACAATAATAAAGGTATCATATACTAAAAATTAATTTGTGAAGATTAGCAAAGATTTTAACGCGAATTTTATGAAATAAAAAAGTAAATGTAAAGTAATGTTTTTACATAAATTTTTAATCAAACAGCACAAATAATTAAAAATAATATTAAATTTTATCTTTTGTTTTATTTAAAATATTGATAATGTAATAAAATATATTAAAAAATTAGATTTTTCATTTTTTGTTTTTTTCTTTATAGTAATAATATTTTAATAATATTAGTAAACACAATTTCTCAATATTAACATGAAATTACTCAATTAACAAAAGTTCTCATTCTGGTATAACTATTTTTTCACACCAAAATCTTAAAAAACATTAATTAAGCTGAAGAAATAAAATTTGAATATTTCGAAGACTATTTATGAATTTGTTACATTTAATTAGTATTATGCATTTGTAAAACTCGAAATTGAACTTGGGTAGCCTTCTAAAGCTGAGTATATTATTATTATATATTTTTCATGATAAATTGTCTAAATATTTCTAAAGATACTTATTACATATTATTAATAATAATAAATATGACGTTTTTCATTCATATGTGTTAAATTTTTAATATTTGCCTATCCAAATAATTCTAAAAAAACTGCGATTTAAAAAAGTAAAATTTTGTTTTAATGTAAGATTTTCAAAATTAATGAATAGTAAACATATGTATATTATATTATATTTCTTTATCGAAAACGTTGAAAAAGTTATTATGTCGGATATTCAGATTTTAATATTTTAAATAAAGATTGAGATTAAAATTGCATTTGCAAACATTTTAAATAATCTCTATTTTATATCTATTTCCATCTATTTATATTGATTTAACATTTATTTCATTGTCTATTTATATCGATAAAATTTCATACAAAGAGAATGATTCGCAAAGAATATTTATTTATAAACATTTTAAATAATCTCTATTTTATATCTATTTCCATCTATTTATATTGATTTAACATTTATTTCATTGTCTATTTATATCGATAAAATTTCATACAAAGAGAATGATTCGCAAAGAATATTTATTTATAATTTATTAAATAATTAAGTTATAAATATTTATTTATTAACTTATTAAAGAGTAAATTAAACAATCTTCATAAACAAATAATACTGTTTATTTCTCATCGATATATTCTTGTCCTAGGCTGTCCCAAAATAATCACTAAATATTTTATGGGCAAGTAGAATGAAGAAACTGAGTTGAAAAGTTCTTTATCATTTTGTAATTTTCGCAATAATTAACAAGATATTAATTATTAAAAATTGTCAAAAATTGGTCTTCAATAATTTTTTACTCAAATATTATCAACTTTATGGAAAAACTGCAAAAATTGTTTGTTTTTTTTTTCATAGAGCTCTAAGAATTTTTTCTAAGTATTAAACAATTCTGAAAAAAATTTTAGAGTTCGATGAAAAGAAAATAAACAATTTTTGTCTTTTGCAATTTTTCTAAAGTAAAGTTCGACAATTTTTAATAGTTAATATCTTGTACTCTCTTAATTATTGCGAAAATTACAAAATGTACACGACTTTTCGACTTAGTTTAATCCGCTCTATCTGCCCATCAAATATTTGGTCATTTTAGGACATTCTGTCTATCATGAATCTTTTTAATCTAACGAATAATTTGAAGTACTAAAATATTGCACTAAAAGTGAAAAAATGTGTTGACATACCATTACAGCATTCATTTTGAAGTCTATCATATTTTTCACTTCCATGGCCATTTCCCGAACAAGGACAAGACCATCCCTTTTTATGACGTTGGCCTCTACTTCGTGATATTTCTAAGTAATAAAGTAATAAAAATCAGTATATGAGCGGGAAAATTACTAGATTTTTATTAAAAAGATAATTTTAAAACAATAAGAATCTTGTTGGATTGTTCATGTGAACACGCAAATAATAGGAAATAGAGTTCATAATGATCGAAGCTGGATCTTAGTGTTTAAATAATTCGTTGTAAATATATATATTACGTATCAAATTCTGCCAAACTACGCGCCGAAATTGATTTTTGATCTTGTAATACTATACTAACAGAACTATGATAAATTAAGGGAATCCTAAGGCCATTTGTATTACCGACTAAATCGTAATTTTTGTATAACAATTATTTTTTTCCTCTTTTAGATTCGAAAATCCTTTTCTAGGATTAAAGTATTCGCATTAAAGTATACGTATCTGTGAGGTAAAATTTTACGAAAACAAAAAATTTTCTTAAGAGTTTAATTTTGAAATTTTTTGTCGTTCTTGGCATAAATTCCACCTCAGATACGTATTAATGTGTATACTTTAATCCTGGAAAAGAATTTTTGAATTTATAAAAGAAAAAAGTAATTGCTTTAGGATTCCCTTAAATTGCTTAGCAAATTTAATAATTTGATGCTCATAGGCATTTTAGAAAATAATTTTAAAAAACTTATAAATAGAATTTCTTTTTATAATATAGAATCTTGGTTTACGATGCCTCTGTTAATTCTCGGTCCACAATCTTGTTTTAAGAAGCCTTATAAGTTGGCTTAAGTCATAAGTCGAAAAAAATTAAGTGACAACAATTTTCATCTTTAAACTTTTTGTGATGGCTTTATACTTTAATCGTTAGACTTAAGCGAATTGAGCAAAAATTCTTACAGCCTAAAAACATAAGTTCTGTGGCCAATATATCATCACTTACAACTTACAACTTACGGCTTATTTTTTAAAGCAAGATTGTGGACTTAGCCTTAATGGTTCGCTAAATAAAGTAAATACAATATATTTGTATTTACTTTAGCGAACCATTGGTTATAGCTAAATATATATTAATATATTAAATATGTTTTCTTACTCTTTGTATTTCGCTCATTTTGGTTACTTGTTTACCAAACTCCCATAGATCCACGCCAAACTTTAAAGCCCAGTTTTTCACTCTGCAATAATTATATAAGTACATATAGATATACACAGCAACGACTGAAAAAATTATTTACAATAACAATAAATATAAAATATTATATTTATTATATAACAATAAATAAAATATTAAGTAAAATTTGTTGCGTTATCTTATAATAATTGTTTTATGTTAGATCATACAGAAATAATTGGTCATAAATGTAATGTGTTTTTACATTTCTATATTTATTAAAATTATAATACATGAAGAAATCCTCATAGCATGACAATTTTGTAAAATTTATTTGAGAGAGAGAGAGAGAGAGAGAGAGAGAGAGAGAGAGAGAGAGACAGACAGACAGACATATTAAGTACACTTGTAACTCTTATCGTATTTTAATGAGCAATTACGAATTGTAACTATTTTCGAAAAATTGTTTTTAATTTCAAAAAGCTTTATATTTAAAAAAATCAAACTGTCAATCCTTTCTAAGCTTCTTTTTGCTAAATCGGAATTCTTTCACATAATATGTATAATATAATTCTGTTTCTCTTTCATAATCACCTCTTCTTTTTTTGGAACTTTATACAGTGAAATTTCCACATCTACTACGTGGGGTTATGAGAAGTTAGGTTCTCCCCATTCTTATATTAGAGACGAAGCATTAAAAAGAAATAATATATATTACATATAGAGTGAGAACATTTGCACAGATGCCAACACAACATAACCTATTTTAACTCTAAAAATTTTTATATACGTCATGTACGTATGAGGATGGAGAATGAAGAAGTTTCAACAGAATACTGAAGTTAGGGAAGTTTTACTGTATATCTTTCTCTCAGACTTTTATATTCTTTTATTCTTTTTCTGTATTCTATATTCTTTTTCTGTATGCTTTTTCATTTTTTTTAAGTGCCATCCATTATTCTTAACTATACAGGATGTCCCGAAATTTGTGAATTAAGACACCATAGTAAGAAAGTATTCGACAAATTAAATAAAAATGTTATTCAATAAAAATGTTATTTGTAAATTTTTATTTTAAGTAATAGTTTGTGAAATAACAAGGACTTAAATATGGTCATTTACAGGCTATATGTTTTAGACGGACTATGTTTAAACGCTTACTAAACTATCGCACGCATTTATGGACAAATATAAATCTGTAATTAGCTATATTTAAATTCATATTTCAAAAATTATTGCTTGCAATAAAAATGTACACACAAAGTTTTTTATTTAATTTTTCGAAAACTTTCTCGTATGATATTTTGATTGGTGAATTTTCCTGTATATCGCCCTTCTCATATCGTTCACACCCTGACGACTTCTCTCCTATCTCTACCTTCTTCACTTTCTTTCTTTTTCTCACCCTCCTTCCCTCTCTTGCGCATTTCTTTACTTCCCCATCCTACCGCATGCTCGTTCTCGTCCTCTTTCACCCCTTCACTCTCGCATTCCTTCTGCTCTCTATCGAGTTTTGCTCGTCGAGCTTTATGCACCCCATCCGTCCAATCGCTCGCACATCTACCTCACTACCACCACCCTTATCACCTGACTCCCTCTTTCCATCCTTTCCAATGCTTCCAGCCAACTTCTTTCAGATTTCTCATGCGCCATCGATATCCAACGATGCACGACTCGGGGCAATTTCATACTTAACTACGTACGTCGCACTTGTGCGACACTTACTCGTTGTGAGGTATGTCCTCCTCTTGTTGACAACTCGAGCCTATCCATAACAGAAACAGTAGTCCAAAACGTAACAGCCTGTCGATACGCAAGAACATTATTTCAATGATTCTAGACAATTATTTCTCAAAATCCTTTCTTTCTCTTTCTTCTTCTCCTTCTCTGTCACCCTCGCTGTGTTCTCAGTGCGTGGCAAAAAGTCTCCTGTGGTAAGTCTCCACGATAATTTCGCGTGATTGACAATCGATCGTCGAGCCGAGGACCAGGGACGAGTCGGTTCGGCACCCGTCGATTTAATGACCCTCGCGCATCGTTCATAGGTCATCACCTTTCTAGGATCTCTTCCACCTCCCGTTTCTCTTGCAAACCGATCTCGAGCACATCTACTACCACGTACACTATATCGCCAACTCACTAACCCTCTGTCCGCTACCCGCGCTCGCTTGCGCGCGAGCGCGCGCGCACTCTAGTACAAGTGATGTACAAGGTCACGAAATCGGATCACGCAAAGAGACGAGACCACCCCTTCATCTCCGTCGCGTTTGTTACTTCACGAACGGCGACGGTTCGTGCCACAAGTATCAGAGCAAATCCGGTTACTAGTTCGATCAAATCAATAGCGATCATTTCAATAGCGGGCGAGAGAAGATAATAGACGGCGGCGTTCCGGGCTGCATGTACTGTTCCGGAACGTGCGCTCGAAATGTCACTGCCTTTTCCGGAGCTGAGCGCGACCACATGATCTCATCGCGCAAAGCGAGGATAGCATAATTCTTTTGTATCGCGCCTTCGTCGTTCTTCTTACGCGATTTACTCACACTGTCGGTCCCTACGGATTCCCTTCGATTGCCCCACGTTGTCGCACGATTTCTCTACAAGGATTCACATCGTAAGGCGCAAAGACGTGAAAAGAATGAGAAGTATCGATGAGAATGAGAATAAAGAAAGAAGAAGGCAAAAGTGGATTAGGGAAGAGGAAATAAAATGGAACGAAATAGCACTTAAGGAGTCGAAAAAAAAGCTCTTCTAAAGCAATGCGTGCAAAAAGATTTGAAAAGAAACAAGCAATAATGGCTGGAACGAGGGAAAGTGAGAGAACAAATCACGCTCTCCCTCGCGACAATACTGCTTTTCCAAGCGGGAAACGGCGTGACGAACTTCTGATCTCGTCGCTTGGTTGGAGTACGATGCGGAAAATTACGCAAGAACAGCGCGATGGTAGCTTCGCGCCGCTATCTCTGCTGCTGCTCTCTGGTCGCCGTCGCTACCCCTCCGAACCATGACTCGGCGCGCGCGCATTACCCCTTACTACATCTACGATCAGTTCGTGATTTTGGTAGTACGTTATTTTGAGAGGTGAGGGAGGAAGTGAGTCATTTCTCTCTCTACCGCTCTTTCCACGGAGGGGCAGGGGCCAACGAAGGTGGAGCGCTCCATAGCGGCGGCGACCGCGACATCAGCTTCGTCGAAGTTCGTTGGGCTCGTCCTTGGCTCGACTAGGTGGATCACAGGGCTTGCTCCGCAGAGCGGAGCTTTGCGTGGGGTGGCAATGGGGTGAGAGAGGGGGAGTACGTCGCCAGAAAGACGAGTAATAGTAGTAGTGATGGCAGCAGTGGTGGATACGAAGCGCGCGAGGGTAGACGGGGGATAAAAGCAATGGAAGGTGGAGAAGGCACGGTGCCGTTCCCCGGAGGACGAGGTTAGGGAGTGGGGAGACGCGGTCTCGGCCTTACGCTACGTTACGGGGGTATAACGCAGCGCAAGTCCAGTATCATTGATTTAACATATATCTATATCTTACATAAAGACAGCGAGAGCTATGATGAGAATAGGGTAACGTCGCATTACATTTGTCCAAGCACAGGACGGCGTCATGCGTGCGAAGGAGAAATCTTTCTTCTCATTAAAGAGACTATATAAAATTATTGACTATATAGAATTATTGAAGATTATATAATTGTATGAAGATTGTTTAAGAGTTTATATGACGATTTTTAGAAAATATATATTAAAAATGATTTCTGCAAAATAAATCACAATTAGTATATAGGACGTTTCACATCAACCAGATTACCTACGTGCTCAAAAATCAGCGCAACAAAAATGAACGTGACCTTTTGAAAAATCCAATATGGCGGACCAATATGGCGTCGAGAAGCAATAGGGGCTTTGTACAATAAAAGGAATAGGGAAGAAATAAGAATAAAAATTTCAACCTATCAGAAATCGGATATACCGAAAAACATGGTTTCTAATAAGGAATTATTATTCCTTATTCCTTCTATTGTGACTGCACCATGATGTTTATGAGACTCCGCACAATAAAAGGAACAGAGAATAGAGAACAAAGAATAAGAATTTCAACCTATCAGAAATCATGTATTATGGAATACACAGTTTCTGATAGGTTGAAATTCTTATTCTTTGTTCTCTATTCTCTGTTCCTTTTATTGTGCGGAGTCTCATAAACATCATGGTGCAGTCACAATAGAAGGAATAAGGAATAATAATTCCTTATTAGAAACCATGTTTTTCGGTATATCCGATTTCTGATAGGTTGAAATTTTTATTCTTATTTCTAATTCCTTATTCCTGATTCAATACTTTCTTGATTAAATCACTGTATTGATCTCAATTGGCTTGAAACCTATTAGAATTCTAGAATTGGAAAGAGATGAGAAATATGTTGTATATGAACCTCAACGTAAGATGTAACGTTAAGAGTTAACGTGAGTTGTGAAACTGAGCCTAAGTGTCAAAGTTAAACGCACCTTTGGATTCGCATAAAATCTAAGGGAGCTTTTTAGTAAGAGATACAAGAGTCAAGTTCTATCCTTGTTCAGTAAGAAACAAAGACAGAATGACTCTTGTGTCGATTTATGCCTCTGCTGGAAAGCTTTCTAGATTGACTAATGCCCATGTTCATAGTCAGACTTTGTATTAGCTTTCTTAAATAAGGCCTAACTATAAATACAAGCATAAGAGTCTCTTTCACTAACTTCAGTTATCTCTCTGAGTTAAGTTAATCGACGATTACATGAGGCTCATTTAAGCTCGTTTCTACCAATGTAAATTAACTTTAATCTCAGTTCTTACTCTTTATCTTTTTCTAATTATCAGAACTGGAAAAAGATGAAGAGCTAGTTAAAGAGATTAAAATTAAATATTGGTAGAAACGAGCCTTAGGTCCAACTGACAGTTAACTCATAACTGAGGATCAACTTATTCATTGTCTCTTTCCAATTTTATTTTATTTTATTCATTGTCTCTTTCTATTGTTTGTCTTTCCAATTTTAGAATTGAAAAAAGATGAGAAACAAGTTAAACCTCAGTTAAAAGTTAATCATGTATGAGTTGTGAAACTGGACCTTAGACACGATTTAGGGAGCTTTCCAGTAGAAGCACAAATCGATGCAAGAGTCATTTCGTGTTTCATTCTTTGTTTCTCTATAATATGTTTCTCTATAATATGAGATCTAGACTTTAGCGAATAAAATCATCACAAGTAATCATGCCAATAAGAGCCGACTTATGTTGTTTGTGTATGTATTTCAAGTATATATAAAAGATTAATTACGCAAACGTTTCGATCTTTTGTTTAGGATCATCTTCAATGCTATTCAAAATTAAGGCTTTCGTCGCGAATGTCAAGAATTAAGAATTAAAACTACAGTTACAATTAAGTCGCTTTTTCATATTATATAATTCCTACAGATTATTAATGCGTCAAGCCGTAATAAAAGATAAACTATCTAAATGGTCACATACGAATGTAGTGTACAAAATTGAATGTAAAGATTGTGACGCATCATACGTAGGCCAAACGAGTAGAATGTTAAAAACACGAATAAAAGAACATAAAGAACCAAATCAATTGGAATACCCAACAACATTCGGTTATAACGGATAAATTGGATTCAATACACGAATTTGATTGGAAGGAGGTAAAGATTTTGAATGAAAAGAGTATTTTACAAAGACGGCTTATATTCGAAATGATCTATATAAAACAACAAAAAAATTAAATTTTAAAAAATGATACTGATCTGTTTTAGATTACTCAGATATATTACTTACAACATAAGATTTTCTCCCTCTCCACAATTATTTCGCACGAAAAACATCGATTATTTATCGTATCCTCACACGAGATCCACACGTCGAATGGGCAACCACAGTTTAACATAGCTTAACATATAAGTTTGTTAAAAATATAACCTGTACTTTATTTACTTATGTATGTAATTAATTTATTATTTAGTTAATCTATCAATTTTATGGATATATACATATATCTATATGTTGGACGAAGAAACGCATTATGGCTTGACGCATTGATAATCTAGAGGAACTATGTAATATGAAAAAGCAACTTAATTGTAATTCTAGTTTTAATTCTTAATTCTTGACATTCGCGATGAAAGCATTAATTTGAAGATGATCCTAAACAAAGGATCGAAACGTTTGCGTAATTAATCTTTTATATATAACTGAATAAATACATGCACATCAACAGCATGTGTTGGCTCTTATTGGCATAATTACTTGTGATTATTCATTATCTTTTCAATTCTAGAATTGGAAAGAGATAATAAAGAAGTTGAAACTCGGTTAAGAGTTAATCAACAATGAATTGTGGAACTGAGCCTTAAATAAACCTTATGTAATCGCGGATGTTAACTTAACCGAGGTTGATGAAAGAGACCCTAAAGAATGAAAGTCAAATGTTTTTTACGAAAATGATTTTCAATAAAAAAAATCCGCGTTTATAAATTCAATATTCAATAAATTCAATAATCTTTATATTAGAGAAATAAATAAAATTGAAAATTTTATTTATTTCTCTAATATAAAGATGTGCATGTATCTTTTTACGAAATTAGTTTTTTTGCAAAAAGGCTAGCCTTTATGCAAAACTGCGGGTAGTATGACTTAGCTTTTTTCTAATTTCACGAAAAGGTTGCGTCATGTACTGCCTAGCTGTATATTTTATAAATCTCTATACTATTGAATTATAAATTTTATAAAAAGTTACAAGATTGCAAACTAAAGAAACATGCAGAAAAATTTTTAAGTAGTAAATCGTTGAAAAAATTAGATGTAAAAGACAAAATTTGTATATTTATTTATATTTGAATTCATTTAATTT